GCTGTTCCTGTTTTTGGGATGCTGTTTTTGAGGCCGTGCCATTTTTGGGGTGCTGTTTTGAGATGCTGTTTTTGAGGCTGTTCCCGTTTTTGGGGTGCTGTTTTTGGGGCTGTTCCTGTTTTTGGGGTGCTGTTTCGGGGCCGTGCCGTTTTTGGGGTGCCATTCTGGGGTCTGTATCCATTTTGGGGTGCTGTTCTGGGGTGCTGTTTTTGAGGCTGTGTCCATTTTTGGGGTGCCGTTCTGGGGTCTGTATCCATTTCGGGGTGCCGTTCTGGGGTCTGTACCCCCTGGGGGTGCCGTTCCCAGCCGTGCCGGTTTTGGGGTGCCGTTCCCGGGTTTCGGGGTGCCGCTCAGTCGTGGAACATGCGCAGCAGGCAGGCGCTGATGGCGGCCATGTAGCGCTCCCAGAGCGCCTGGTGCCTGCGGGCGGCTCCGCTGGGGTCCCTCGCTTTTGGGGACCCCCCAGCTTTTGGGGGGGGGTCCCTCGCTTTTGGGGGCCCCTTCTGGGGGGGACCCCCCCAGCTTTTGGGGGCCCCCCCCAGCCCCTTCTGTGGTCCCTCACTTTTGGGGACCCCCCCTTCCTGTCCCAAACCACCCCCCCAGCCCCTTCTGGGGTCCCTCGCTTTTGGGGACCCCCCACCCAACCCCTTCTGGGGTCCCTCGCTTTTGGGGATCCCCCCCCAGCCCCTTCTGGGGTCCCTCGCTTTTGGGGACCCCCCCCTTGGTCTCCCGAACCACCCCCCAGCCCCTTCTGGGGGTCCCTCGCTTTTGGGGACCCCCCCAGCCCCTTCTGGGGGTCCCTCGCTTTTGGGGGCCCCTTCTGGGGGGGCTTTGGGGCTCCCATAAAAGCTGCCGGGGGAAGATTTGGGGAGTCCCGGGTTTGGGGGTCCCACCTGAAGCCCGGCAGGTTCCGGGGGGCTCAGGGGGGCTCAGGGGGCACTCAGGGGGAAGATTTGGGGAGTCCCGGGTTTGGGGGTCCCACCTGAAGCCCGGCAGGTTCCGGGGGGCTCAGGGGGGCTCAGGGGGCACTCAGG